AATTACGCTAATCATCCAATTCAAAAAATCACAAATAGAAATTATAAATTTTATAAACATTAAATAAAGGAATAAAGTTTAATACTTTAGAACCACTAGAAATAAATAAAATTAAAAATGAAAACGTAGAATCAGATGGAGTTAAATACATCACCACTGCTAAATTTATTCTAACGTAACCCCCACTTTTAATTAAAGTATATATCTACTATAAGTTACAATTCTGTAAAATATTTATTGTAACTCTCCACTTCAAACAGCTACTGTCTTACCGAAGCAATTGTCGTCGTAAAAATAAAAAATTGTGAAAATGATGAATCGTTTTATTATTCTTTATAAAGTTATGAATTTTCACCATGTAGATGCCGATTCCATCATATATTTGATTGTACTGACCTTTACTGGACTTTTATTCTATTATACCTACTTCTTAAAATTTATTTGCTAGACACAAGTACCTAATATTAAATTCATGGTCAATCCAAAACTAACTACATTGAAAGCGAAATTTTTTGTGGAATCCTGAAGGTTTCAACAAGGAAATAAAAATAATAGTTACATTACAGCGAAAAATATTTAATCAAAACTATAATAAAACTTGGAAGAAATTGGAATGGTAATTTTAACTTAAACAATGTCAAGAGATGTTATCAATTCCGCTTATTCCAACGAGTTTATATTCTCACTCTCGATTATCTACTTGCCCAGCCTCAGACAAAAAAAACTCACTTGAAAATTATTGTCATTAGTACAGAAATTAATCATGCCGTAGCGTAATAAAATACTTTTCGCACTCTGACCAATTTTTTTTTAATTCTGACTTTCTTAATGACACTTTTTCATGTAAGTTAGTTATCCCAATCAGCGACGAGCACTGAACCGAGCAAGTGAGGCAGTGGTAACACAGTGTCCATTAGATTTTCAAAATATAGCAGTAGCACTGCACAATCCAAACGTCACTAGGCTTCGGATAATTATGCATTAAAAAAGTACAAAATATGCATGCAAATATGCATTTAAAATATTAAATATATGCATTTAAAGATGCTTTCAAATGTCGTTTTTTAGATTGAAATAAAACAAGTTTTAAGGGTTATATTTGTCTATTTACAATTTTACATATTTTTGCTATTACATTTTATTATAGATAATATGATATAATAAATTTTCAAATATAAATTTACGGCGATTATCAGATAAAATATTTTTAATTTCTGAAAAACATCTTTTCACGTCACAGGAAACTATAGGAGCAAATGGTAAATTAACTACGTCCGTAATATTCAAATTATTGGGAGCAACAGCATCAGTTTCTTCCTCTTGTAAAACCTTGCAAATGTTTTTTAAATTTTGATATCCCGTATTTTTTGCTATACTGACGACAGTTTATTAGCAAAACTGCTATTTTTTAATTTATTTAATTTATCAAAA